ATATCTGAGTTTCGATTTGGTGACTTTAGCTTCGTCGGAGAATGCCTAGCTACACTGACCGAGCCTGAGTTTCAGGCCTTCACGCACGGTTGACCTTACTGAACCCAGGGAGGGAGGTCACACCCAAGCTCCGATTTGCCGACGCTCCGCCGTATAGGGCGGCGCCGAACACTCAGAAGGGGACCTCTACCTTCTTCTCTCTCTGGATTTTACGCTCTCTCTCTCTCTATCTCTCTCTCCTTTCTCTCGGTCATTTCGTCGAACATCTTCCTCTCGCCATGTTCATTTTTCTTCCTTTTTGTTCATCGATTTTTCCCACTCAAAGTTTGTTGGAACCGACCTTGAATCGGTTAGGGTGATTCCCTAGCGCCAGCTGGATATTTTCCAGCTAGTCAACTCGATTTGCACATGTTAAATCGATCGGGAAAGTTTCATGAAGTCGCGGGCTTGAAATGTTTTTTTTTTGGGTTTTGTACGGTCTAATGAGTCGGGTGAAGAAGGTAACCGACCCGGGTCGGATCGGGTTGACCCAATCGACCCGGAAGACCTAGGTTGGTCTAAATTCGTCAATTAGGCTCAATTTTGACAAAATTTTTAAAATTAAACCCCAAAATTGAATGTCCCATCACATTCTGAACCCAACTATATAATTTTCCCCAATTTTTGTTATAATTTTGTCCAAGATTTTCACATTTTTGTACTTGGGTTAATAGGATTTCGTTCAATTTGATGTCCTAATGACCTAATTAGGCAAAATTGATGCCAAAATTGAATTACCCACATCTGATTAACCCTAGAAACGATGGTCTCATGGTTCAACAATTTTATATTGGGCACGATTCCCAATTTAGGTTCAAAATTCTTAATTTTCAATTGAATTTTGGGATTTTCTGATTTCTTTGACAAATTGTGTTATTGGACCGACCATTATGTAATTCAAGGTCCCAAAATTAATTGTTGTGAAGACACTATGACTTAAAAATGACTAGAAAAGATTTAATTGCATTTTTGGTTCAATTCGGGTTTAATTTTGCCTAATTTTGGGAAAAACATATACCCGATTGAGATTTTTCAAAATTGATGATGTATTCATGAAATTGGATTTAAAATAAGACTAATGGCTATTTTTATTGAATTTTCTGATTCCATTTGCTATTTTTCTTGATTTTCTCATTTATTTTGACTAAAAGAAATTAAGGAAAAATGCAGAAAAATGATAAAAAAATATTTTTTGTTTAGAAATAGGTTTCTAGGCTTGGCCAAGATTCCTAGTCCTAATTTTGAGATTTTCGAAAATATGAAAAAAAAAATGAGCTAAAAATCAGGTGTCAACACCCTCACCTCGCCCGACATTGGGATTTTCATTTTAACCCTATGAGAATTCTATATGAGGAATCGCGACTAGCCTATTGAGCTTGGCTAGATACCAAGTGAGACACGAGAAGCTACCTTTCTTCCTACGAAATCAAAGATATAGGGTCGGACTTGATTCGATAAGTTATTAAACTAGTGCCCTTTCGATACCTAAATTTGATCATTTGTTAACTAAGTGTCACACGCATTCTTCTTGTCCAATTATGATTCCTAAAGTTCCTGTCCACTACGGTTAAATGCAATATTATTATTTTTTTTGTGTTTATTATTGTCCTCAAATGTAACGTAACCATTCAACTAAAACTGGCAAAACACGACTCATAATCGGAATATGAAAGAAACGCAATCTATTGGTCTAAGAAGTATTGAAAGAATGAGTAAAAATTAGAGCACAGTACAGTAACCCGATATGAGTCAAGCAAAGAATATAACATGGCCACCTTATTATGCCCAACGATAGCAATTCGAATTTTCAGAGAAAAGTGAAGCTCTAGGTCAGTACTTTGTCATCCCAAGTCGAGGTCCCAATCCGACTTTAGTTTAGTAAGTACTCATTTAGTCCACCTCAAGTTTCTCCTAGGTTACAATACTTCCACATTACCTATTCAATTATCTGAGGTGATTTCACAAATTAAATAAGCTATTTATTATGATTTTTTTCTATTTTGTACAGTGATGTTGCTAAACTACTATTTTTTCTTTATATTTGTCAAATTAAATCTATTACATTCATTAGGACTAATCAGCTAAATTAAAAATAAGTAACCTTAACTTAAACTTGGAATCCACAATCTAATCTAACATAAACACACAAATCATCAATCACTCAAGTAAAGGCACGAATTATACTAAAAATCAAGAAATAGAATTATCCTGACTATATGAACTCTAATGAAATGAAACTGAGCTACGTCTAATGTGAAAACCCAACAATATAATCAAGGCCTATAGTTCTAACCAGTTTTCTAATTTTCTATTTTCAAGTTTTGTTATTTATTTTATTATTTTTAAATTTTTTTGTTACTTCGGAAAAATGAGAACCTGGGCTAGGCCTTTGATCCCACCCCGCATGTAAGGTCATGTTTCGGCTCATAAGAACGTGGGCCCAATTCTTGACTCGGCCAATGGTCTATGTCAAATCTGAATTTCAATGAGATAGGTTGCATATGGACTCACTAATTGAGCCTATTTCTGTTAAAAAAAAATTACTTGCCCATTTCTAAAATGCAATCAAACTGAACCTTGGCTCTAATAAAACCATTCTAGATTCATTCTAAACTCAATTCCAAAAATAAAGCCCAATTACTCCTTTATCTCTCCTTTCTCCTCTTCCTATATTTCTATTATTTATTTCTTATTCATTTTCCTCCCATCCTATCTCCTTTTACGGCCCACGTAGATTTGAACACACATTGATTCCAGCACACGAAGCTTCAATAGCGACATATCCATATCTTATTCCAAATCGAAGATAACACGAAGTACTATTGATCAACACCAATCACCGATTTGCTGCCTTTAACATTCGGCCATCCCACACAAGTACAAAACTAAACCATGAATGGCAGGATTCACCATTTATCACCACTGGCCACTGATTCTTCATCGTTAACAATCAATACACCCCTCACGGACGACTATCGCTTTCGTGCATTATTATCGCCACCCACCATTATCGAATTTAAGTTATTGAACATGTACCAACGAAAAACGCTTTTTCCCTCTCCTCTCTGCAAGGTTCCCCCGTCTCCCTCCTATCTTCACACAGCTTTCTTCTTCATTCTCCATGGAGGGGAGGGTTTGAGTTAAATCTCTCCCTCCCCTCCCTTTTTCTTTTTTCTTTGGCTAATTTGATTCTCTATTCTCTTTTTCTTGCTTTCCTCTTATTTTGAGGAGTTTTTATTTTTTATCTAGTCTAGATTTAGAAGTTTCTCTTTCCCATTTTGGGGAGGTTTCTATCTCGATCTAATCTAGATTTAGGTTTTTTTTTTTTTGCATATAAGATTTTGGGGTTTCGCTTTCCTCAAGTTTTGTTGGTATACAAGTCCAGTTTCGAAGGAAATGGGAGGAATTTCGTGAAAGTTTCGCTCTCACGAGTGTCAAATTTGTGCATGTTCAACGTTTTTACTCTACAGAGTGATGGTGTTGGGGACGCCAAACGCAGGCACACACCGCCAAAAGGTAAAGCCGTAGCAACAGATGGAAATCTCGGTATGTGCTCATTACTGAAGACGAATTCGGTGATCGGCCACCAATTTTGGTTTGAAGAAGTCTCAGATCTACTATTTGAGTGTGTGACCAATAACCTTATTTTAATGGTTCATCTTCTTATCTGGAATTTGTTTTGTTGTCCCGGCTTGCAATTGGACTGTGTATCTCTATTGTATATGCATGGAAATAAATAAAATGTTTCTTTGACAAAAAAAAAAAATCTACCAACGAAGGATAAGTTTGGTCTCTGTATAGCTATTAAATACCAAAATGAGGAAAAGTGTCTTTGTCCGTACATCTCACACATCTTCATTCCACCTGTCCTTAGCACCATCATCTCTTCACAATCAGCTTTGGCCCAACCTTTCTCTCAGGACATAGTTTAGCATGCGTTGATACATAAATTTTGGTATTCCATTCAGATATTAATGGCATGAAAAATTAGGGATCGACCTGATCCCTAAATAAAAAATTAGTTAAATTGCATTTATGTATTAGGAGTGTTTCAATTTAGCCCACATAAATTGCACTGGCACTTAATGGACTTAAAGAGGGATGGCTTTAATCTTTTGAATTCAAGACTGAGCCCGTGCGAGCCCAGCCTCTCTATAACTCCTATTTTTGTTGTTGCTTTACTGAATAAAGGCCTAATTCCAAAAAAAACACCAATTTTAGGTCGAGGGACAATTCTGGCCCGAACTTTTTTTTGTCCCATGAAAAAGCACCAACTTTAGGTTGAGGACAATTCTGGCCCAAACTTTATTTTGTCCTATAAAAAAGCATCAACTTTAGGTCGAGTGACAATTCTGGCCCCAATTTTTTTTTTGTCTCATTAAAAATCACCAACTTTCATCATAATCCCAAATCTGGCCTCCCGTTGACTTTCACCATTATTTGAGAAAGAAGGTTATGGTGGTCAGCTTGATGAATCTCTTCTATGGCATCTGTCGACAGGCGATGGTCACCTTTAGATTACGTTTGGCCAGAGAGATTCAATATTTAGATATTTTTGACTTGTCAGTGAAGTGAAGGAGACGAACAGTTTCACCATTATTCTTCAAATTGTGGCTTAGAGAATAAGACAATGAATATTACTTTAAATCCAGTCAGCAAGCCACGTGAATTTATTGCTAATGTGGAATAGTCAAGTTAGATAATCAATGGTTCTAAGTCAATGGGGGCCAGATTTGGGATTTAAGTGAAAGTTGATGCTTTTTTACGAGACAAAAAAAAGTTGAGGCTATAATTATCCATCGACCTAAAGTTGGTGCATTTTTACGGGACAAAAAAAATTTCGGGCCAAAATTGTCCATTGACCTAAAGTTGGTGCTTTTATATGCGACAAAAAAAAGTTCGGCCAGAATTGTCCCTAGACCTAAAGTTGGTGCTTTTTTTTTTTAAATTAACCCACTGAATAAATGCAAGGGCGGTCCATACGTGTGCAGAAGGAAAGAAAATCCATGTGATTTTCCATTATTCAATAATATAAAAAGAATATTTGGCATCCACCAAGAACACTCATTCTGCCATATATTCGGGCATTCACACATGCACACTTGGAAACTCAGCGAAGCCGAATGAAGCAGGAGGAGATCCTATGCTATATTCAATAGGAAATCGGCCAAAAGGGTTGAATGGAAAAGATTCCTCGCGAAAATAAAATCAAAAATTCTTGGGAAGAAATTTGAAAAAAGGAAAGCCGGGGTACTGGAAGATTGAAGAGAATCATGGGGATCGTTCACTATATAAGTGGTTGAAGTTCTCTTCAAGAGAAAGGCCACATATATTGAATACACGGCCACAGAAGTGAGAGAGAGAGAGCTTCGGAGAATCCCGAGAAGAGAGAGAGTCGCGGAAGGTGAGAACAATAGAGAGAAGGAGCCTCGGCTGAGACCATTACTCAGCCGCAATCTCATCTCAGCCTCCAGCGACGAGCTGCTACAACAACAATTTCATTATCGGCAGCCATCAATAACCGCAGCCGCGATGTCCTTCCAAACCGAAAACACCAGTTGCAGCCGTCAACCAGCCCGCGAGACCAAGCCGGAGAGGCTGCTGTCCTGCTCGTGTGACCACACCACCCTCCATTGGCGACCACCTTGCTGCTACCGTGAACCCCCATAGCCCCGGTGATCTGCAGTAGTGACACTGCGGCTGTTTATTTGCCCCGCACCAGTCCACGACGCTCCGGTGATCCAACTCGGTGTTCCTGATGAAAAATCGGCAAGCTTCAGGCGCGCATCACGGCTTTCCCGGTGTGACCATCGTGTCCCATAGCCTTGGCGTGAAGTCCAGCTCAGTCTATAACAAACCCCCCTCAGTCCCACGAATTCCACTCTCGGCCAGGACAGAAAGATTTCACAACATCCAGGAGGCTCCAGGTGGTGATTGTGGAACTATTCAATGGCTTAATCCGAGTAAAAGTCAAATTTTGAGTATAGATTCCTGGTGAGCTGATTCGGTAGAAAGAAGGGGACAAAGGCCAAAAGGTGTTCTTGGCGTCTTCCTGTAGTCCTTCATCGTGCGTCCGAGGTCTGTCGACAACACTGGAGAAACTCTCGCTCTCGCGCTTAATTTCCTTCCGCAGGTTTAGCAAACCAGAGCTATTACATTTCACGCCGAGCAGCACTTCCATGGCCAATCACCAGGCCTTGCACCGCGAGCCACAAATCCAAAAGTCCCTCGTCGCAAGCCCAAATTAGGTAATGATTCTATCCGATTTGATTTAAATTGTTCAATTGCTATATATAGATAGATTGTGTTACCTAATTGATTTGATTGAGATTTAGGCATTATTCAATTAGGGTTTATTTAATTACTAATTTGATCCGTAAAGATCTCCGATCATTTTTTTTATTATTTCAACTTAATATTAGATAATTGTTGTGCTAAAGATTGCGATAATCTCTAATTTAATCCGCGAGACGGTAGGTTATTTTTTAGATTATCGTAATCTTTAATTTGAAATCTTTGTAGATTGTGCGTGTGGATTAGGTTAGTCTTTATCTTTAATTTAGATAAGTGCCATGTTTTGAAAATACTAGAAAGATCGAATTGCGTGATAGATAGGATAGTTTCCTAACTAGATTACGATTGCATGTTTAGAATTTATTTAGTTAGACTTATCTTCTAGATTAGACTGCATGTTAGGGTAATATCTATTTAATAAAGATAAGTTTTAGAGTTAAAATAAGATTTAATCTAAATTATTTCCTAGTTTGAATAGAATAATTTTTCAAGTTGTGTAGTTAATTTTCATTAATCACTTATTTTGAATTTCATGAAAAATACCGAAAATATCATGCGCATGTCATCAGGTCACATCATCATGCCCATCACGTCGCGTGTCACTTAGCGATTATATGTTTTGGGTAATTTAATCTAGAAGTGCATGTCATATTAGAATATTTGCATGTTAATTTTTGCCCGTATTTAGAAATTGCATGTCATGTTAGAATAGGCATGCTTTGTACATCATCGCATTATAGTAAGTGCATTACATGCATGGCATATAGGTTAGTCCTTATTTATATAAGAGAACTCTAAAAAGATTTGAGTGATATTGAATATAAATTAGAAATTACATTTAAGATAATGATTTGATTTTATAACTAACATTGTAAATGCTTTCATTACTTCGAGGTGAGTGCACCCTCCTTATCTTGCAATTTATTCATCTTTTTTATTATTCGGTATTTCATTACTAGTTGCACACCTATATGATCACCTGACCTGTTAGTAGATAGGTTTAAAATTGATTCAAGCTGTTTGCTAAACATTTTTTTCTAATAAAAGAAAAAAGATATTAAAAGAGCATTAGAATAATCTAGCGTAATCAAGTTCTCAAACTCATAATCTCTGGTTTGTAGGAGTAAAGTATATCTCAATACTTTGCTTGGATTTCTAATCGACCCACCAAGAAATGAATTAGTAGCGACTCCTAATTGGAAATGATGTTGCATGTTAAGAACTTAAATATAAGTTGCGAATTGGTATGGATTTGGGAGAGCCGAGCTAAGTATAGTAGGCTTAATAATCCATTAGCCAAACCGTCAATGGTGCACCATTCGGGTAGGTTGCAACAGCTTGGCGACTCCGTTGAGGAATTAAAAAATTCTTAGTGGACTTAGGCCAATTTTCTCTTTGTTCAAAAATATTTTTGTTTGGCAACGAGGACTCCAAGTAAGTCCCTATCTTGACTGTTAAATGTTCTTGCAAATGGGAGTTATAAGGAGAGTAGTCTTTGCTAACCATTTATTTTGCAGAGAAGTGTTGGGAATAAATGTTTATTATCTTCAATACTGAAGCAGTAATTGCATATGAATTGTTGTGCATGCCTATATTGTTTTGGCACTACATTATTGCACACACAACCTGCCGCCGGACCTAGGCTACGATAAGATAATCTAGGACGGTGTTAAGAAAGAAACAACCTTGAACACGAGATCGCGATGTAGAGGTTGTCTTTCTTTCCCCGAACTTTCTTTCTTGGTGTTAAAATGGTTTGTCCTTGTCCACCAAACCGCTAACTATAGGGCATTCCTTTTGACGAAGCCGAAGTTAAGAGGACTTGACTCAAATACGCAAAACTATGTGATCAGACCATCCTCTTAACTTCACTTTGCTAAACCTTTTAGAAAGAAATCGAGCATCACGTTTCATGTGCATGTCTATGTAATTGGCATCAAGGTCATCGGTGAAGTAAGTCCTCTAACCCTCCGTCTTGCAATTTACTTACTGCATATCTCTGGTCGGTCCATGGTCAGTCGAGGTTAGCAATGGACTCGATGTCATTTCACTTTGGAAGTAATAATTGCATTTTTTTTTTCAAAAAGAGAGGAAATAAAGAACCAAGATTTTTGGTGAATTTATTTCCAACTTATGTTTTCATTTCCCCGAACATATCATGAGTCATTGCTTTCCTGAGTAATTTTTTTTGCCGTTGTTTTTTTCGAAGAATCCCGTTACTAGTTATTTCAAAGAAAATTCGAAAAATGGCTTGAAAAATGAAAAAAAAAATGGAAAAGTGAAATAGGGCATCCAGACTGAGTTATGGACCGATTTAGTCTGAAGTCATATGCTTATTATTATCTCTTCGTAGGTGATTATGGATCGTGTACCATCAACCGTTCGTACGTGGCCACAAGCAAAAAATACCGATCAAAATGAAGTGTTGAATCGTGTTGCTAATGACATGAACAAGCGAATTGCAAGCCACCAAAGTCAAGGTGATGAGCTGCGTCCTACTGTTGCTTGTCTAGTCAAGCAAAAGCGTCGTGTTGACATGGATAAGATAGTTTCCTAACTAGACCAGGATTGCATGTTTTGAATTTATCCAATTAGACCTATCTTCTAGATTAGACTGCATGTTAGGGTACTATCTATTTAATAAAGATAAGTTTCCAAATTAAAATAGGATTTAATGTAAATTATTTCTTAGTTTGAATAGTATAACTTTTCAAGTTGGGTAGTTAATTTTCATTAATCACTTATTTCGAATTTCATGAAAAATATCAAAAATATCATGCGCATGTCATCGTCTCACGTTATCATAACTATCACATCATTGCTCATATGTCATTTAGGGATTATATGTTTAGGGTAATTTAATCAGGAAGTGCATGTCATATTAGAATATTGCATGTCGTGTTAGAATAGGCATGCTTTGTACGTCGTCGCATTATAATAAGTGCATTACATGCATTGCATATAGGTTAGTACTCATTTATATAAGAGAAAACCCTAAAAAGATTTAAGTGAAATTGCATGTCGATTAGAAATCATATTAGGGGGATGATGTAATTTTCTAGCTAACATTGCAGAGGATTTTATTGCTTCTAGATAACTGCACCCTCCTTATCTGGCAATTTATTCATCACTTTAATTTTTGGGTGTTTCATTACTGATTGTACATTCACATGATGACCTCTAGATATGTTTAAAATCAATCTAAGTTGCCTGCTAAACATTTTCTGAATAAAAGAGAAAAGGTACTAAAAGGGCGTTAGAGTAATCTAACATAATCCAGTCCCCAAACTCATAAAGTAAAGTATATCTCTCAATACTTTACTTGGTTTCTAATTGACCCATCAAAAAATAAATTAGTGACGACTCATAATTGAAATGATGTTACATGTTAAGAACTTAAATCTAAGTTGCAAGATAAGTATGAGCTTGGGAGAGCCCGAGCTAAGTTTAGGCTTAGTAATTATTAACCAAATCCTAGGTGGTGCACCGTTCGAGCAAGTCGCGACAACTTGATTTCAATACCCGTGATAAATTGGACTCACATGTGAACAAGCTAGAGAGACAAGTTGCACTTATAGGAAAAGAAAAATTATCTTGTGGAGGATGAAAATTTGCTTGTATCCTAAGATATCGGGGTTGACCGACTAAGTCGATATTGTGAATTGGCAAGGTCCAGAATTCGAGTTCTCGCCATTGTTATATCATCATTAAGAGCAAGCTATTGGTTGATAGGCATACGACCTATTGATAAAAGAATTAGAGGGATGGAGATGCTAGTATCACTGATGTGGAGCAAAAATTAGAAAGTGAGGAAAGTTCGAAATATGACAAATCGAAAAATAAAAACAAAAAGAGCAAGCTATTGATTACAGTCCAATTATGGCCAGAGATAAGTTGAGTAAGGCAATTTGTGACTCAATTGACTTGACTGGCTGATTATCTCTCTTCTCCGACAAGAGTGTCGAACTTCTTCTCTTGTTAAGGCAATCATGCTTAGATTTTGGCTCAAGAAAGAAAAAGAAACAAAGATCCTTGTGTACGGAGTTTATAGACCCTTCGTATATATCCGACGTTGTCCCACTCCTCGGTTTAATCGATTGACATTTGTATATATCCTCTTTTTCCTTTTTTTAAATCCAAATTACACTGCTACCGTGCCAAAGAAAAATTACAAAAAAAAAAAAAACCCCAAAGAAAACTGAGAGAACTCATCGTTATACCACGTCCCTCGAACCACGCGACACACAACACTGACCGTGAACCCGGTCCGAATAGATCCGAGCCGGGTTCGACTCGGTCAACCGCGAACCGAGTCTAGACGGAGTTTTAACAGAACAGTAACAGCGAACCACCTCCCTACAATATCTACAGACCGTGGTGCATGGATGATGACGATCGATCCACGTGGCGCGATCACACGAGGGTCTTGCACGCGTACGTCTCCGGGTCCCACATCGCCGGCAACAGGAACTTCCGGCCGCCGAGCCCGTGGGCGTTGTAGCTCGCCCCGGTCACCTTGTCGACGAGGAGCCGGCCCGGATAGCCCGGGTACGAACCCGACCCGTAAATACCCGTGCACGCCGACACCGCCTCCAGCGGCGCTTCCGCCGGGCCCTGGAAGTACCCGCTCCCGAACGGGTTCGTGACGGCGCCGGCGAGGAGCGTCGCCAGGTTGATCACCATGCCGTCGGCCCCGACGTCGCCGCTTGGCGCCACCAGCGGCGGCGTCTGCGGGCCGTACATGGGCTGGTGGAACGGCCACGCGCACTGCCCCGGGCACTGCGTCTCCGAGTTCCCGACCCACACGAACGCGGACCCGGGCCGGGACGACCCGTGCGTCCCGCACCGCATGCAGAACCCCTCCACGGCGACGTCCGCCGCCGTTAGGACGACGGTGATGGTGCCGGCGGCGGCGTTGAACTTCCCGGCGAGGGCGCGGAGGTGGCGGTTATTGAGTGACTTCCCGAGGGTGTACGCCTCGTGGAGGGCCTGCCTTCCGACGACGAGGTTGGAGCTGCCACCCTTGTACTTCTCGGTGGTGCGCCACCAGGAGGCGGCGGAGGGGGGAAGGGAACGGGCGGAGCCGAGGGAGCGGATGAAGTCGACGATGACTGAGCGCTGGGCGGGGCTGAAGCGACCGTACCAGACGAGGTCGACGGTGATGTTGCCCTTCAGAAGAGCTCCGTTGTGGTACTTGAGGACGAGGGGCTGTTGCTGGACAAGGGCGGCGGTGGAGGAGGAGATGGAGCTCGAGAAGAGGAAGAGGAGGAAGAAGAAGACAGAGAGCGCGAGACAGTGAGAAGCCATTGGCGTGGCCTCGAAGCTTTTGAGAGAGAGCAAAGATGAGAGAGAAGATGAGGGAAAAGATATGAAGAGAGGGTATTTATATATAGCGCGAAGAGGAATAGAGGAAGACAGCTGTGAGAGAAAGAGCTAAGGGCCTATTTGGCAATTTGTCAAATACTAACTGATTATGTTCTTTTATTCTCAGAATCAATTTGGGAACAGAAATTTATTTGTTAAATTTTTTGTGCTCAGAATCAGTTTTGGAACAGAATCAAGAAGCAAAAAAAAAAAAAGTAGCTTCTTGATTCTGGAATAATTTTTCCGGAACTGATTCTTCTTGGTTTTTTCTTTTTTTGGTTTATTGTTGATCTTTGGCCCCGCCACCCGCCGGCCACAGGCCAGGGCCGGCAAGAGCGGCTCGCTGTCACGATGGCGAGGCCTCGCCCAGCCAAGGCGAGGTCGGCCTCGATGTCACCACCCAGGTCCGTCGCCTGGGTGGCAACGGCGAGGTTGGCCTCTTGGCTAGGCGAGGCTCGACCTCGTCCAAAACTGGCGAGGCCGACCTCGCCATCGCCTGGGTTGGCAACGGCGAGGTTGGCCTCACCAGATCTCGGCAAGGTCAGCCTTGCCCAGCCAAGGCGAGGCCGGCAGCGAGGGCCGTGACACCCTCGCCGGCCCTGGCCTGTGGCCGGTCGCTAGCACCGGCGATCGGCCATGGCCAAGAAAGGAAGAAAAAAAATCGAAATATTAAAAAATTCAAAATATTATTAATAAAAAGAAATTTTGTATAGTTACCAAACGCATTTCTGTTCTTTTTCTATTCTAAGAACATAAATTTTGGGCAGTTACCAAACGCCTTCAGATGCTTAGAAATTGTTTCCGGGCACGGAATCAAAAAGAATTATTTCTGCCCAGAATCTGATTCTGGACACAGAATGGTTGTCATGCGCAGCCTAAGTATTTTATGTGCATCTTGCGACTTGTGATTTTAATGTTTATTAAATTCGTTTTCTTTTTTTTTTTTTTGCCATACTCAAATTTATTTTCAATACATATATTTATACTGCACATGTAAAGTTAAAAGGGCCAGTTTAGTATGGGATTGTCTGTTTTTGATGGTGCAATTAAAATCAAATATCGTGTCTAATTCACCACACATAGTGCATATAAAAGTCGGATGAGTTTTGTGCCAACTGAACGAGAAATTAAGTCCAATGCCGTTTTTGTTATTGCATTTACGGGATTGACATAATCATATTAATTTTGATGATTCGGATCAAATCAATATTCTCGCGTTATTATAGAATTAAAGGATCTATGCACGGTACGAGAAATTACTAAAAAAATGCTAAAAATGAACAATAATTTTAATATAGAAGGAAAGTACTTTGGAAACAAGAGCATTCCCAACCCTTCTCCATCCTCGACCGTACTAATCCCTCTCCTCTCCCTCCACCTTTTAACCACGCTTTACCGCTACCCTAGATGTTCAGTACCATTTTCGAAAAAGCCCTCGTCACTGACGGAGTCCTATCTCTAATCGTGCAAAAACCATGGACTCATCGGCAGCGGCGACGCCGGGCGACAAGGGGGTAGAGAGAGGGGTTTGCCAGATTGAGGATGGAGATGGGTTGAAGAATGCTCTTTTCTTTTCCGTCGATGTAGATTATTTTCCCCAAGAATTTTTAAATAATCGGTTTAATTATAAAAAAAATATATCAGCTGCCACGTGGGATCATCTCGCGAGACAAGAATGGGGTCAACGTCAAAGGGGGGCCACGTGGAGAGAAGCAATTGGTGGGTGGTGGAGGGATATAGTCTGCTTGCCGAGCTGTGGGGAGGGGTCTGAGGGAGGACGTGGTGGTCTGAGCCGTAGAGGAGGCTTCGTAGCAGCTTCTTGATGTCGACCCTGTGACTTTCTTTAGGGTTCTGGACCCCCTCCTCCGTGCACGCCAATTTTGAAGAGAGCTCCCCCGCAAAAAAAAATATATTAATAAAAAATAAATTAGGTGATATTATGTTTGATTGCTGGATACCGAAAAGATCAAGAACAAAAATTGGCAGAGATGACATATTTTTCTTTCAAAAAAGTCCGATTCCCCGCCCCCTATCTTTGATTTTTTTTTTGTCTTACTTCTCTCTTCGATGATTCAAACCCCGGACCTAAAACTCTTCAACCCCACCCCCTAATCCCTTTACCGGGCGGGGCCGAACTTCACCGTCCCCCCCCAACCCTTATTCTTTCACACCCTTCCAAAGAAAGGGCCAGGAGAAAAGAGAAGTTTCTAATTGAGGACAATGTATGGCACCACGACATCAGTCCAATCTCGACCCATGATTGTGTGGATCAGATCGCATGTGGTCATGTTAACAAAGACAGATCGCTGAATTGAGTTTTGATTTTCACCTAGACGAGTTAGATTAGATT